AAGAAATGTGTCAGAAAGCAAAGGTAGACATGTTTCTGTGCGAACCTGAAGCTCCCATAGATAAGTCGGTATCACAGTCCCATTCATCTGAGCGCTCCAGAGCCTCAAACATTCCCCGGCTTTTGCGCATCGCAGCGAGATGATGAGCGATATGCTGAACAACAAAGTCTCGTATAGTATCAAGATAGGCTGGTGTGCACTCGCTGGTGAACTTTGGTTTCTTGAGCTCTAGATCAACGAGTTCCACAACCTCGAAGGGGAGCAAACCGCGACCACGACGGTTTCCTATTGCCTGCACAAAAGTGAGACGTTTGAATTAGATAGACAGCCGTATTGGTACACACCAAAGCATGCGTCCATGCGCGCTCGAACTCGACCGGGCTGTGCGTCACCTTCAAGACATGCAGGATCCAAGCCATCGTCACCATATCTGAACTGCACAACGCCGCCTGTGGAGTTGCGCACTGATAGATCATATTGAGTGGTCAGATCCTCCAGTGCCTTCATCAAACGTCGTTGCATGTAACCAGTCTCAGCGGTCTTCACCGCGGTGTCGACCAAACCCTCACGACCGGAAATGGCGTGAAATAAAAATTCGGTCGGTAGCAGACCGCTAAAAAAGCTGTTTCTGACGAAACCTTTGGATGGAGGTTCTTTCGACTTCTTCGGGAAATGCGGTAGAGAACGATCTTGAAATCCATCTGGAACACGGTGACCCGCAATGATTTGCTGACCGACACAGGCAACCATCTGAGAAACATTGATCACGGAACCTAGTAACACTAAGCAACATTGACCAAACAGAATCCAAGGGACAAACCTTTAGAGCCACAAGTTGCCATGATTAGAGGTGCATTATGTCGACTCAGCTCCTGCATACAGATGTCTCCGACCTTGTCCCGAACTCTTGAAAGGATTCCAGATATCATAGCTTCAAGTGTTTGTTCTTGGTTGCATCCTGGTTTATTCTCCAGTTTCCCCTTCTTTGCCTGCGTAATGAGACTTGTACATTCAGCGTAAGCAGCCTCGACCATCTGGTTTTTCTTCGATGCAAGAATAGGCCCTGGAATGACATCGTTTATTCCGAGAGAGAAGCCGAAGTTGGCTGAAAGGAAATTAAAATGTGAAATGTGTCTGATCGACGATAAGACGCACCCAGCCAACGAGCGCACAGTTTTGCTACACGGTTCATGGCTGCGGCAGCCTCATGTGGGCCGTAGTCCCTCATGATTATTCCGAATATTGACTTCTTCTTCCCGCTGCCGACGACGGCTTTATCCATGACACCACACATAACTTCGCTGTTGACGATGACAAGCCAAGCATCGTTCGGAGAGAGATCTGGGGCCGGGTCTTTGATGGAGGGGTAATGTTCAGGTTTTAGCTTTTCCGGTTTATTGCACTTGCATTCAACGTTCACAAATACGTTGGATTGCTTTTAGGACGCATGAGAACGTTGAATAATCTGTTTGCCTGTCCACAGTCGTATAGGCTTCCAGATCGCGGTGGGGGTATGTCAATCTGCAAGTTGGCATCGGCAAAGTAGCAACATATTTTGCGTGAACTGGCGACGGTCGAAAAATGTATCTTACGAGTCATCAAGTAGGAGCCGTGATAAAATCTTGAATGGCAGCGATCACAGGCTCTCCGTTTCGATGGGTGACTAGATTATGTTTCACGCTCATGAGCTCGAGCGCTTCTGTTCTTGCTTCCTTCCGTCTGAGGAAATCTAATCGAGAGATCATGAGTGTTCGAACATCAGTCAGTATGACAAAAAACTGACGAAGATTCATTTCATCGCCATCAAAATCGGCATTGTAAGGGCCGCAAACACTTCGTTTAGACGGAAGGAGCGCCAAGGACGAACCTTGACCCTGTGACACATAATCGAGAGCTGAAAGGTACCAAGTTAATGAAGGTTTGAAGCTTTTAAAGAATGAAAGACCTATGTAGACTGGGTTGTCGATTGAACAAGGCGATATCACCGTCGATGATATGCCTCTCGACAATGTCTCCAATTCTCAGACTGTCAGCCACCCGCATGCGATTGCCAAACTTCAAGAATTTCTTGAAGCCACTGCTGTGCCCGCTGTTACGTAGTTAGCGCCGGGGTGTACATCACACCCATTGCGAACAGCTTGTTTGAGACCGTCAATGTTGTGAGAAGTCACACGTTCCGCGGTATGTCAATATCTTCGCGACACGCTCTGGTACCGCTACTTATCGCTAACGGCAAGTTGGGGTCAGGGGAAATCACGGTACGACCGGAGAAATCGACACGTTCCCAGACAAATTACCACGGAATCGACCCTGTTGCCCTTCAGGCGCTGTACAAAGCCCCTCATTGGCTTTTGACCAGCTTGTGAGGGTACCCCAGGAAGTTCGGAGTTGATGTACATGGCAACGGAAAGTTGAAGGAACTCCCAGTGTCCTGAGTACAAGTTGAGTAACGGTAAGCACTGTGAATAATCCTCAACTTACCATGAATTGTGCAGTAGGCGCTCCTTTAGACAGACCTTGCTTATGAGAGCATTGGTGAAAACGATCTCCGTAAGTTTGACCAGTGAGGTAATCTTCGTTGGAAGCTCCATCCTGGGGCAACAGATGGTCTGATTGCAAACCGGTGGGAACAGATATGTACTGCCAGATATACTCTTCTGGACGACCGAACTCGGGTCTTAGACCAAGTAATTCACAGTCCTGAAAGTAGATGTTAATCCCGTGAACCTTTGAAAGTAGACATAAACGCGACCTCATCGGATATTCTCTAAAGAGATCGAGAGTTTTTAGTGGATTTAAATCTTCGTGGATTGCCTTGTTCAAGTACATCCAAGTTCCTTCTGCGCCTCTAACCGCCGGAGAAATGTACGCTTCCATTTCTCCATCTCGTCTGCTGTCTTCTTCGCGCGGAATTTATCGTGGATAATTTTCAGTACTCCTGCCTTTTTAACAGCGCCATTCGTTGCTGAGCAGTACGGACAGTAGACGACCTTTCGTGCCATCGTATTGACCTGTTTGCATAACGCCTGTCGATGGATATTTTCAAGACCTGGTCTGCGGAAGCGTTTGAGGTATGTCCGCCGGTCAGGCTCCTCCAGTAGCACGCGAGCGCAGGTCTTTTATCGCGTCATAAAGCAAGAAAAGTATGAAAATTTACCCGCTTACTTTGCATATGGCCTGGAGGACGGCAATAGTATGTTTGAAGTAGCCGATGTGGAATACTGGGACCACTAGTTTGATATATGCGTAGTGGCCAACGCAGTCGACAGGAATTGAGCCGCAGGGTCTCACAAAATGCGTTCTTCTCTGTCGTTCCCTGAGATGGTGATCAGTCGCATCGTACATGGGAAGGTGTTGGGGACTCACCAGCCGACGATCTAAGACGCCATCTTTGACGGAAGTCGATCGGTGGGCGTATACAAGTCGCGGTGAGTGATCTGGAATTCGGAGATCTTAACTGTATCTTGGGCATTGAGCAAGCTGAACTGCAACTGTTTTCTGATGGGCTCTCGCGTCAACCAATTTAAGAAAACTGGAGGAGGGGATCGGACATACATAACTTTGGGTGCCTCAGAAGGTACAGTCTCCTTCATGGTAAAAAATTTAGTACAAGAAGCTAGATTTTGCGACGACGCCTGTCACTCATGCGCAATGCACGAGTAAAGTGTCTGTGTATATATAAGTACAACTTGAGTTGGACGTCAACTAGCTATAGCTACAAGTTTTGGATATCAGATCAATCAATATGTGACGTAACTTTCTTGTGACCGTGTGACATAATTGAGTGACCCTGTGACGAGACTTGCGCGTCGCGTGTCTGCGATTGAATCATATCCTGCATCCAAACCATGTCGAGAACATCATACGATAGGTTCGAGTATTCACCAGCTCCGCCGTTTACATGCTCATGAATTGTTTGACAGATATCTCACTGTTTTCTCGCCCGAGGGTCGACTGTACCAAGTCGGTGCGTTGATGATTATTGGACATGTTCACAATGACGCGTGCTTATATATTCCCCTTTAGAGTACGCATTCAAAGCTATCTCTGGTTCAGGCCATACAGCGGTCTCTGTTAGAGGACATGATACCTCTGTAGTCATTACCCAAAAGAAGATCCCAGTATGTTGTACTAGTAAACTGCTGTCATCACGATATTTACTTCAGATCAGGACAAGCTGTGGATGCATCGACTGTTACGCACCTCTACAGCATCACCCGTACTATTGGTGTGTCATGACTGGCCTTGTCGGTGAGTCAAATGCTGATGTGGAATAGCTTGTACTTGCGCTGACGTAGGTTACAGCTGATGCCCGTGCCCAAGTTTTACGTGCTCAGCAAGAAGCTGTCCAGTGGAGATACAAGTATGGATACGAGATAACTCCGGATGCTCTGGCACGACGACTGGCAAACATCAATCAAGTCTACACGCAACGGGCTGGCATGCGGCCCCTAGGCATTTGTCAGGCCACCTATTTTTGTTACCGTCTTTAGCAACTAACGACAGCTCATAGCTATGATCCTAATTGGCATCGATCCAGAATATGGGCCGCAATGTTTCAAATTGGACCCCGCAGGTTACTTTGTTGGGTTCCACGCCACTGCTGCTGGACAGAAACAGCAAGAAGCGATGAATCACCTAGAAAAGAAATGGAAGAAGTTAGACAAGGGTAAGGGAGCTGATGATGCTGCAGCTGCTGGCAAGAAGCTCAGTCGAGCGGAGGTTATTGAGGTGAGTCATACTATATTACAAAATGACGCAGATAGCTGAGCATTGTTTAGATTGCAATAGAAGCAATGTCGACGGTTCATGCGACGGACTACAAGGCTGGAGAGATAGAGATTGGAATCGTGTCAACTGCTGAGGACGAGGACCCCAAGACTCGTGGTGAATGGCGTGTGATGAATGAGGCCGAAGTAGAAAGATATCTCCTAGCATATGCAGAAAAGGACTAGGATGCATTGTTGCACACATGAGAATTCATCATTTGCCCGCGGAAACTCGGAGTAATTTAGATAAGTTTTTGGGATAATGCGGTATGAATTGCAGATGATGTCTATCGGATTTATCTATTCTATCGCAGAGAAGCTCCCCCACTCTGCACGACTGTGAGTACTGAATCATGTGTTACACAGAAATACTGACCAGTATAGCATCTATCTCGACTTGTTCCAAGTACCTGGAGGATGGTTTCGAGAAGCGTGCTGGAGCGTCCCAGAATTCTAGGAATGCAGCATGATCCTGCGGTGCTCGGGGTGAGCTCTGAGAAACAGCCTTTTCAGAAAAGGACTTTTGCCATTCTGGAGGAGCAGCTGGATGAGGGTGAGAAGGACCTGCAGCTATTGTGACATTTAGGTGTTGTGCAAGACAATAAGTTACCCAACGCACTAGCCGGCCATACACGCTTTCCGATGAAGCTGATGAGAGGTTTGTGTGCTAGCACCTTAACAGATGGGTGCATGGTAACTGGTGGCTGAGAAGCGGGCCGCCTGGCAAAGCTGTTCGTGGGATATTTTATTTGTACATATTTACTTGGCCACCGGGAAGGCTGAAGCAACCGCGCCGATCGCCTAGTGACGCCGCCAAGTGGCAAAGGTACTAGTAGACGCTTCAAGAAAGATAAATTCAGGTATACGACTGCTGGCATACTTTGACGGTTCTGTGTTTCCCAGAAACAATATGTCGGTTCTTCAGGCGTACTCTTCCCTGTCATCGAGTTCTCCAAGAGCTACGATATCACACACACTTCAATTAATCGCTGGTATGTCTTAATCGTATCTTATTGCTAACTACTTCAATCTGTTTTTTTAGGTGCTCCGCCTATCGATCCTCCTTCCTGTAAAACACTCATTCAGCTCATCATTGATGATCTCCAGGCTGTCATTATCGATGGCTCGCCCAGCCGTTTAATCAGAGATGGTTTGCTCACCCTATTAGATTTATACACTCAGTACTGATCTCATGTCAATTTCAGACGCGTTGTCCGCCATTTCTGCCGTCAAGGGACTCGGTAAAACTCCCCACGGTGCCCAGGTTCTTGCATCAGTTCCTAACCTCAAATGTCTTATGACGCTTGCCATAAAACTCGAAACTGCTCCTGATGCATCGAACGAAGCTTTGAAGTGCGTCGCCAACACCTTACTCCTTAGTGAACCTGCCCGCACCAGGTTACTGAGTCAAGAAATTGATGGAGGCAATATCTGTGTCGACCTGCTCCAGGTCAGCACCCATTACCCTGCGTGTTTTGCATTCCGCCCATTTTTAATAGAAATCTGCAACACCCGAGAGCACATTTCTCTCGTCCAGGGTCCTCTTCCTCTGTACTGCGTCCTCTCATCAATCTTTTTCCTTCATTGAATCTATCGTCGAGACAAAACGCACCCACTTTCCTGGAAATGGAACAATACTCGATGTTATTGCCTTCAAGTTGGATGATTTAATTGCATCCATGCAAGTTGGAACAAAGATGTCCCGCGATGCCATGACAGATCTCCTGAAGTTTACCTTCAATCTCCTCGTACACTATCCCAAGGTCAGTCTCCTCTTTTTCAAGCACAATTACGAACTCTCAGTCGTGTCATAGCTGGCCCCCTCTGAGTTGCAATCTCCCGGCATAGTCTGCTCTCCTGTAGACCAAAAGGTAATGGGAGATTTCTGGAATTCGCGACTTGATGCGTGAGTATCTTGTGGTAATTTGTTTTCACGGCATCTCACACGGTGCTACAGCATCCTACCTCCACTTGTTCGTGCCTTTCAGGCCATCCCCCTGTCCTCCCCAAATCCCCTTACATCGCCATTGACTCACATCATTCACTCGCTAATCACTATCCCTGTCGACGCGTCATCCCGAGCGGTATGGTTTGGTACTTGTCCACATTCACATTCGACTACCCCTCAGCCTAGTCCCCCTGAGTCCACAACCTCTTCTTTAACTGGTTCAAGTCACGATAGTCAGTCAACGCCTAAGGAGCCAAAGGCCAGGCATATTGAACGCGCCATATCGTCTGTCATTTCGGCCGGTCGCCGTTCGTTCTGCTGCTCTCCACGTTCGGACTCGCCTTCGGCAGCTGACTGCGCTTCACGCGCTTATGAACTCCTGGACATGACCCTTGCTCATTTCCTTCCAGGTGATATTGATCCAGATGATCCTGCAGTACGAGATCTGTGCAAGATCGATGGGGATACGTCCCTGGATGAAATCCTGTGCCCGCTTGTTCTACTTATCACACGATTCTGCCTTGGTGACGACGATGCCAAGACAAGAATAAGACAGTGGTTAGTACCTGAAAACCTGGACAGGACGCATCCTTTGGAGAAGAGAGCAGACCTTTTAGGTCGGTGTTTGAGACTCCTTGCATCCGTCTACCACAGCACGTTGAAGGACGCTATGGGAGAAATGTTGTACGCAATGTGTGATTCAAACGGTGTGTCATGTGCTCCCCCCGTCGGTTGTATTTACGAATGAAATTTAGCTTCATCCCTTGCTGGTTATTTCGGGTACGGCAATGTTGCTGGTTTCCTTTATCACAAAGGCGTTGTCAGTGCACCGCCCGTCAGCGCAGCCTCAGGCGCACCACCAACTACTGCGTCAGGTTTACCCATCAACCCCATCACTGGCACCGTTGAGCATCCCTCTGAAACTGTCGACATGACTGATGAAGAGAAGGAACACGAGGCGGAGAAATTGTTTGTATTATTTGATCGGCTGGAGAAGACTGGTGCGCTACCTCCGAGCCAGAATCCTTATCGGAAGGCATTTCAAGAGGGTAAAATGGGCTGATCTCAGTCAGCAACGGTGGATACGAAAGTTATCATGGACCTGCGAGTAGCTTACCGATACCATCCCTTGTTTGTTTCCTTACCTTGAATCCACAGTTAATGAAGTATGATAGATCAAGTTGTCAATCGCAGTGATAGAACAGTATGCATATGTATATACGAAAGATATGCAACGACTTGAACCACTTAAAAGTGGGAAGTCATCATTTTTGGGTAACGCTGTGTAGCCTAATCGAAAGTGATCTTGGACCCCTCAAACTGGGTGACGGCTCCAGTGCGTGCGCCCCCTCGACCTCTGCCGCCACCCCTCCCACCCCGGTCACCGCCACGGCCGCGTCCCCTCCCACCACGGTCACCACCGAACCCACCACGTCCACGTCCGCGGTCACCACCGCCGAACCCACCACGTCCACGACCTCGATCGCCGAATCCTCCACGGCCTCCGCCCCGTCCACCCCAGCGCTGTCTCTTGGTTGGGAATAGTCCAAGCGAAGGCTGCGGCCGTCAAGCTCATAACCCTGCAGTTGTCCGTGGGCTGTCTGTGCGGCCTCCACAGCACTAAACTCGACATAGGCAAAACCCTTCGGCCTTCCCGATTCACGATCCGTTGGAACACGAACGCTTTTAACGTCGCCGTGCTCACCAAAGACTTCCCAAAGTTGATCCTCGTTGACACCAAAGCTAAGATTCCCAACAAAGAGAACACTTGACACTGGGCTCTGCGTATCGCCAAAAGACTTTGCCCGGTTTTCACGGACAGCGCTTTTATCCGGCGGAGTGCTTTTGTCAATATTGACGGGTCGTCCATCTATTTCCTTGCCGTTCATTTGGAGAGCTTTCTCAACCGCATCTGCGGATGTGAAGTGAACATAGCCAAAACCACGCGACTTCCCAGTTGCGCGATCCGTTTGTACTTGAGCAGAAACAATTTCGCCGCAGGAGGCAAATTCCTGTGCAAGCCAGTCGTTGTCGACATTCCATGATAGCCGACCAACGAAAATACTTTTCGTTTCCTCGGTCGATACGCTAGGAGCTGCATCGTCATCGACCAATTTTACCTTTTTTTGGGGAACGGAAGGCTCTGCTTCTGCTTTGCGCTTGGTGCCTGTAGACCATTCAGGCTGATGAACGACTACTGTGATCAATGGCTTACCCTTGGCAGGCTGAGCATTTTGCGCCTCAGCGCCTTTGTCCCCATCCTGATCTGACGAGCTCTCGTCGCTCGAAGAATCGGAAGAATCACCACTTTCTTTACCCTTCTCCCTTTTGCCGGCCGGAACACTGGCGGGTTTTTCATCATCTGATGAATCATCAGACTCGGAGGTAGGGGCAAGCTTTTTGGGTTGTCCCTCCGAAGAGGAGTCCGAAGACTCATCGCTTGATTCGGATGCTTTTGAAATCGATGCTTTGAGTGCTCCCTACGGATATTGAATGATCGTCGAAAGACTGAAAAAATGAAGACATACAGCCTTGGCCAAAATGTCCTTGGGTGATGTTGGCAATTTGACTTTTTTTGCTGGCGAGGCGGTTGATTTTGCTGCCTTGGTCTTATCTGTCTTTTTGCCTGAAGCCCACGACAAAAAATCAGGTTGAGCGGAGACTAGTGCAATCAATTACTTACCATTGGTAGGCTGAACATCCTGCATCTCTACGTCCTTGTCACCAACCTCATCTGATGAGCTCTCGTCGCTTGACGACGAATCAGAAGAATCACTACTCTCCACTTTGCCCTTTCCCTTTTTGCTGGCTGGGGCATTAGCAGGCTTTTTTTCTTCAGGTGAGTCGTCAGAGTCCGACGTGAGCACAGTTTTTTTGGGTTGTTCGTCTTCCGAAGGGGAGTCTGAGGAATCATCCGATGATTCGTCTTTGGCACGTTTAACGGGAGCCTTTCCATTCGATGCTTTGAGTACTTTCTATAGGGTTGAGTAAAAAGGTCAGTACGGGTCCGACGACTGACGACAGGAATACATACAGCCTTGGCCAAAATCTCCTTGGATGACGCTAGCGACTTTGCTTTTGCGGGTGAGGCGGCGGCTGGCTTGGCAGCCTTGGCCTTATCTGCTACCTTCTTGTCTGCCTTCTTGTCTGATTTTGCCATGGCGCACAAGTGAGGGATACAGATTTGCAAAGTAAGAAGTCCAAAATTTTGGCTCGATAAGCACGTGAGCCATTCTGGTTAAGGGCAGGTTGGTTCAGGACTTCGAATACTTATGTCTGAATCAATTCCTTCCACCACTGCAGCAATGGATAATCACTTTGACGTTATCGTGCTTGGCACCGGTCTGACCGAATCTATAACTGCTGCGTGAGCAAAATTGATATTCGCACACCGTATTATTGTACTCAGTAGGAACCTCTCAGTGCTCTCTCCAAAGCTGGCTTTAGAGTCGCCCATATTGACCCCAATCCATATTATGGTGCAGACGAAGCATCTCTCTCATTAGATGAACTCATGCAGTGGGTTGATCACCACAAAGAGGACAATCATTCTGTCACCCGTTATGGTGAAGTCCCGCCTCATGCGAGACAGTACTCAATCTCATTAGCTCCTTCGGTCATTCCATCGATCGGTCCTTTCATTTCGTCCCTCGTTGCCTCAGGCGTTTATCGCTACGGATCTTTCAAGCTCCTTGGTCGCGTTGTCATTTATGACGGCGGCATATTGAAAGATGTGCCTCAGAGCAAGGATGACATCTTTCAGAGCAAGGCGATGAGTCTCTTGGAGAAGAGGAGGGTGACGCGTTTCCTCATGTTTGCTGCTGGAGAATTCGAGAATAGCAAGGAGCTGCACGGTCAAGAAGATTTGCCCTTGCTCGATTTCTTGCAGAGGATTTTTTTGCTCAGTGAAGCAACCGCTCGCGCCATTACATATGCCCTGGGATATTGCTGTTTTATTTCAGAAACGACTCTTCCAGCTCTGCATCGTATCCGCATTTACTTGAAGGCATCTGGTCGCTATGGGCCGTCCTCATTTCTCGTTGGCTACTACGGTGGCTCGGGCGAAATCGCGCAAGGCTTTTGCCGCGCAGCTGCTGTGGGGGGAGGTGTTTATATTCTGGGACGATCCGTTACAAGAATCTTGTCTGTTGATCCCACTGGGCCAGAATACCCCGTGCTGACATCAGATCTACCCCGGTTCGCTGTTGAAGTTGACGACTTTCCAGACCGTCTTCACTGCCGATGCCTGATATCGTCGAATACTCTTCTACCAGGTCACCTTCGCACTCTAGCGGATGTCATCCATCCGAGTATATCGTCCTGCGGCTCCCCGCGGCTATTTGCAATGGCACGATGTATCGCAATTGTTGATGGGCCAATTATTTTACCATTGGACACTAAGGATTCCGGAGCGTCGGATGCGTCGGATTCTTCCCTTCTTGTCTTTCCGCCGGGGTCGTTGAACGGGGGATCGGCTATTTCTGCTGTGCATGTTATGACAGCGGGTCCAGGTACAATGTCGGCTCCTTCTGGGAAAGGTATGGTTGTTTTTCAATTCATGTTTAGCAATACCTCAATTCATTATAGGCATCCTGTACATTTCAATGCCACTTCCCACCAATTCCATTCATTCAGCTGAGATCCTTTTACGCCCTTACCTAGCAGCTGTTCTTGTATTGATTCAGGCTGAGCAACAGGAGCAGAAAGGATTAATTTGTTCTACATTCTATATGCAGGAACTTGCCTTGTCTACATCCAGCACCTCAGATTCATTGGTAGGGCTGCTGGCTGTGCCTTCATTAAGCCCACATATAACACAGGGGGTAGATGAAGCTGCAATAATTGCTGAGGCCACCTTCAAAAAGGCAGTATCTTCTCTTAATGGAGAGATAAAAGAGATTAATCCAGGACATGAGCAAAATGTGTTTTGGCCTTTGTTAACTGAGATGGAGGAGGGAGAAGGAAATGACATGCAGTGGTAGAATACATCTAACTATCTACAGTGGCTCAAAAAGTGTCTCAATGTTTGTGATTTTTCATATAATTGCTTCATTGCAAGTCAGGGTTTGGGAATACAACTAAGCTATGCAGAGGTGTGTGAAAGCTCTGCTTCTTAGCTTTATCTTTGTCCCCTATAGTGTGGGAATCTGATGACATCATATGAATATATGGTTATTCTAAGAGCCTGGACAGCTGTGTTTATTTCACAGTTTGTTTTGCAGTTTATTTTATTTCCAACAATATGTACAAACAACTGTGACAAGCTCAATGTATCATGCATGTACTATGACATCACACCAAGGCTGAAATGCATGGTATTCAATGTTTCCACATGCTACAGATGGCAGCTGCAATGATTTCTCAACTTATTATGGGCATTATAATTGCATATATGACTCCTTTTCTGGACAAGTAGCCCTACCATACCTTAGTCCTTACTGGGCACGCATGGGTGCAAGAACTTATCAATGGACACCCTGACTGGATCAAAACCGAGCTCAGAATGAGAAAACACATCTTCCATGTACTTCTACATGAGCTTTGGACTTGCAGGCTGCATGATTCAAAATATATTCAGCTTGATGAGCAAGTTGCTATATTTCTCTATACATGTGTGACAGATGGGGCTTTTGAGCTGTCATGTTGCAGAACATTTTCAGCACTCCCACACAACCATGCAGAAGTACATTCTGTTATGAACTAGGATAGTTCTAATGACAGACAACTCAATAAGAGTCAGGACCTCTGTCAAGATTCTATGCAAGATGATAAGTCAAGCATTCGGTATAAGCTAAGTTAGAAGGAGTGCTTCTAACTTAAAGTATGGTTCAGACGACAAGAGATTGGAGGTCTCAAGTGAAGGATGTTTCAGGTAAAACCTAGTAAGATTAAAGTGCAGAACTAAAGTGTACAAGAGAACTATTTATAGTGAACTACAAGTGCTTTAGGGCAGGCATGAGAATGGATATGAGTCAGAGATAAAGGACACATAAGCGATAGCAAGAATAGACCATCTAGCAACAGCAATGGCAGTTGTGATGTAATACAAGGTATGAGTCAAAGATAAGTCTAGTGGCGGTGTTATGCAGCTCATGATGTAATACACAGTAAGAGAGAGAAAATGGATAGGGGCATACATGATTGTAACACATTCATGCTATTGCAAGATATACATTGTCTCACATACCATGTCAGATATTTCAAGAGAATCTTGCTTGCTTTGTCTTTGGCACCCTTCTACAATAAATTTGTATTTCTTCCACAGGAGGACATGCCTATTCCAGTGGAGATATCAGGGAATCCAAAACTCTTTCCACACTTTGAAGGGGCACTTGGAGCTATGGATGGTACACACATTGCATGTTGTCCATCAGTGGAAGAAAGACAGCTTGCATGAAACCAGAAAGGTTTCACCAGCCAAAATTGTCTTGCATATTGTTCATTTGATCTTCAGTTCCAGTATCTTCTCAGCAGTTGGGATGGATCCACCTCAGACTCAACTCTCTACAATAATGCCTGTCTCACTGACCTATACATTCCACAAGGAAGATAATACCTCATGGATGCTGGGTTTGGAATCTGCAATTCACTTCTCATTCTGTACTGAAGTGTTTGGTACCACTTGGCTGAGTGGGGTTGAGCTGCAGTTTGGTGAGCAATATTTCACTTTAATGTTCTCTTCTCATGCAAGGCAGGCCACAAAACACCAAAGAAATATACAATCTTCAGCATGCTCAAGTTTGAAATGTGATTGAGCAGATATTCAGTGTTCTCAAGAGACGGTTTGTGATACTTGTACATCTGCTGGAGTATAGCATGTCAACACAGGCCCAAATTCCCCCCACACTTTGTGCCGTCCATAACTTCATCCAAATTGATCCAAAGGAAATCGAAGAATTCACTGTCAAGGATCTCATTGATCCTGATCCAGGCAAGTCAAGGGGTGATCTCGCTGAAGGACCAGTGGACTGTGCTGAAAGGCAAAAGGCAACAGAAAACAGAGATTGTATTGTAGATGCTATGTGGAGAGATTATTGTAGAGTGTGTCACTGTCATATCCCATATGCCAGACATAGATCCCATCATATTCCCACACTTTCTGGACCTATTTCTGGACCCCATATCCGACTCATTCCCAGATTCCCTTCTGCTGTGTGCTCCATATCTAAGCAGGATTAGATCTGCTATGGAATTACCCCTGAGCTCTGGACCTCCAGATCTTGACTACTAGCATGATCCATACACCCACCCTATGCACATTCCATCCAGCAAGACATCTGAACTTTATCTCCTCTCAGATTCTGGACTACATCCACCACCTCACATATCTCAGTCCTGTGTTAAGGTCGCGTGCTCAAGGAGGTCGGATCACAAGGGCTTGGCCTCAGCTCATATGCTGTGCCCCTTTCCCAAGTATGTGCCCTTAATTTCCAGGGGCTAGAACAGTTGTCCAGAGTTTCCGGGATTTGACTAGGGTGGACAACGGATGTCTGGATCTGAAACATGAGATAAATCCGACAGATGTCCAGATGTTACTTGGCAAGCAGATAAGACTAATCCAGATGAAGTCCAGACTAGAAACTAACAGAGGATAGACTACCTTAAGGTAGAGTTGGAAATGTAGTCTAGGATGCAATCCTAAGACTTGGAATATGACAAGAGACTTATCTCGAGTCTGGAGGACACAGGAATGAGCAGGAACTAAGATGATATTTGAACTGGATTATTTCCGAGAGTTACAGGAGGTTTATATACTGTAGGTATCATATAGGAATCAATCAGCAAACATAAAGGCTATGTATGAAGCATATGCAAAGTCTATTAGTAAGTAGGACAGATCACAAATAATGAAGACTGGAAATGAAATGTATGTAATGGATCAATAATCAGAAGGGAAACATGGTTAACCAGAGTCCAGAGACAGGGGAAGTCTAAATGGGGTTGGGCGCTGATATAGGGTTTGGATTCCAGAAGGAAGATAAAGATAGATCAGATCATTTGAGAACCGGATCTCGAATCCAGATATCTGGAGAAGTGGATGTAGAGTTGAGAGTCCGGAATGGCATATGATGTCCTGTTTCTGCCCTGCCTTCTGGATCCCCAGATCTCTGGACCTCTGGATATTAACTGTTACTATCTCTTGACCATTCCCACCCTCCATCCAAGATCCTGCACCTATCCCCATTTAGGCATCTCCGCCTTTCTGGTTCTTGGTTATCTCTGTTTCCATCTTGCTGATTGATCCTTGTACTAGTCTTCATCTCCAAGTTCATTTACTTATGTTCCATCTTACTTACCAATGTGTTTCCATATGCTCATACATAGCCTTACTCTGTTGCTTACTGATCCTCTTGGATATCCTCTAGTATATAACTCCTGTACAACTCCTGTAGAGTCCTCAGTCTGTTACAACCACGTATGCCCCTGTTCATTTTCCCTTTCTTACTGTGTATTACATCATGAGCTGCATGATGCTGCCGCTAGACTTATCTCTGACTCATACCTTGTATTACATCACAATCGCCACTGCTGTTGCTAGATGACCTATTCTTGCTATCGCTTACGCATTCCTTATCTCTGACTCATTCCATTCACATGCCTACCCTAAAGCACAATAGTCCACTATAAATAGTCCTCCTGTATGCTGTAGTTCTTTACTTTAATCTTACTAGGTTTTACCCTGAATATCCTTTGCTTAAGACCTCCAATCTCTTGTCGTCTGAATTGTACTTTAAGTTAAAGGCACTCCCTTTAACTTAGCTTACACTGAACATTTGACTTATTGTCTTGCATGGAATCTCAACAGAGGTCCTTGACTCTTGTCGAGTTGCCTGTTGTTAGAACTACCCTAGTTCGTAACACAGTCTGAATATCATCTTAGATCCTGTTCTATTTGCCCAATCTTCTTCTGGACTTCAGTCCATCTGAGTTTGTCCTTTTCCATAAGGCCTAGGGATGGATTCCCTAGGCCGGAATTCTGGACCTTTGGATTTGTCCCCTATGTCTCTGTCCCAAGTCTAGGGATTGCTTCCATAGGCTGGAGTCTTGCCTTTCTGGCACTTACCCTCTCTCCAGACTTTGGTCCACTTCCTGTCTCTCTGACTCTACCTTAGGGTAGTCTACCTCTGTTTGTTTCTATATTGGACTCCACCCAATGTAGCCCCTATTCCTTCTGTACCTCCAGATGTCCTGTCCTTTGGATGTTCTGCCCTCTGTACCTTTGGATGTCCTATCCTCCTAACCCTTGGACATCCTGTCCTCCATACCTCCATGTCCTGTCCTGTCCTCCATACTTCTGGACCTCTGGACCTCCTACCCTTCCATCCTGTTTCCTGTAGAAGTATTACCTTGCAGTGGGAACTCTCCTATGCTCCTCAAGAAGTCCTCTAGCACTCCACCAGAGTAGCCAGCCTCCAGAAGTCCTCTGGACTTCATCAGACCATCATCAGACTTCCTCTGAAATGAATGGCACATACTCGTGTAAGGGGCACAGCATATGAGCTGAGGCCAAGCCCCTCTGAGTCAGTCTCTCTCCCCCTTGAGCATGGTTCTTAACAATCTGCCAACATGTTGGCATTTTGATGGTAGTCCAGATGAACAAGACCCAGTAAGAGACAGAGTCAAAGATGCAGCTGTAAATTTTCACTTCAAAGGAGGGGGAGGAGGAGTTGCTTCCCAAGGAATGATGTCTTCTTCATCTTTGTCCTGCTCTCTTCCCACAACCATCCCACTCTCATCTTCTTCTTTAACTCCCAAGTCTCTTATCACAGGTTCTGATACTGCTGGCCCATGCTCAACAGCAACACCGAGACCTTCATCGCTGATGTTGTTGGCAGGAGCTTGTTGTGATTCAAAGGTGTCCTGGCCCGTGTGAAAAGCATTGGTGCCATGTGCAATCTGTGCATGTGTTAAGAACCATGCTCAAAGGAGAGAGAGACTGACTCAGAGGGGCTTGGCCTCAGCTCATACACTGTGCCCCTTACTTGAGTATGTGCCCTTCATTTCATATGAGGTCCGATGATGATCCGACAAAGTCCGGAGGACTTCTGGAGGCTGGCTACTCTGGTGGAGTGCTAGAGGACTTCTTGAGGAGCATGGGAAACATCTGGAGGAGCGTGGGAGAGTTCTGGAGGAACACAGGAAGTGCTCAGGAGAGTTCCCACTGCAAGGTAATACTTCTACAGGAAACAGGATGGAAGGATAGGAGGTCCGAAGGTCTGGAGGACAGGAGGACAGGAGGACAGGAGGACAGGAGGACAGGAGGACAGGAGGGCAGGATGACGGAGGACAGAAGGACAGGATGTCCGAAGGACAGGAGGATAGGATGTCTGAGGGTTAGGAGGACGGAACATCTGAAGGACAGGATGCCCAGAGGTACGAGGGACAGGAGGTTCAGAGGTCTGGAAGGAATAGGGGCTACATCGGACAGAGTCCAATGTAGAAACAAACAGAGGTAGACTACCCTAAGGTAGAGTTGGAGAGACAGGGATTGGACCTAAGTCCAGAAAGAGGGTAAGTGCCGGAAAGGCAGAGCTCCAGCCTAGGGAATCAATCCCTAGGCCTGATGGGTAGGACAGACTTAGGTGGACCAAAGTCCAAGAGAGGATTGGGCAAGTCTAAGTTGATATTCCAACTGAGGAACTACAGGAGTATCTACAGGGGTTATATACTGGACAATATCTGAGGGGATCAGTAAGCAAAGGAGCAAGGCTATGTACAAGCATGTGGAAACACATTAGTAAGTAAGATGGAACATAACTAAATGAACTTGGAGATGAAGACTTGTACAAGGATCAATAAGCAAGATGGAAGAAGAAGTAACCAAAAGCCAGAAAGGCAGAGATGCCTAAATGGGGATAGGTGCAGGATGTTGGACAGAGGGTGGGAATAGGTCCAGAGATCTGGGGATCCAGAAGACAAGGTGGATACAGGACCGGAATATGAGAAGGTGGATATAGTCCGGAATCTGAGATGAGGTGAAGTCCAGATGTCTTGCTGGATGGAGTGTGCATAGGGTGGACAGGATAGGGTTGTATGGATCAGGCTAGCAGTGAGGATCCAGAGGTCTGGAGCTCAGGGGTAAATCCAGAGCATAGTCGATCCTGCTGAGGTGTGGAGTACACAGAGGAAGGGGATCTGGGAATGAGTTGGATATGAAGTGTGGTCCAGATGTAGGCTCGGAAGGCGTGGGAATACTATGGAATGTGAGTCCAGATTGTGGGATATGACAGCATGCAAGAGATCATCCACATTGTCGAAATGCTTCCAGCTTTTGTTGTGAAAGGGCTTTGTATCAGGACATGTGTTTGTGAATGCAGTCCACCATGCAGCATCAGTGGGGCCAATATTTGCACCAAGTTCCTTGTCTCACAAAAATCCAGATTGCAATCTGATTTC